ACTGAATGAAGAAACAAAGAACAAACAGAAAATGAATTTAATGAACACAATCAAACGAAGCTTAGCATGAACTTGAATAATTAAACACACTGAACACAAAATCGTAGTGGCACAGAACAGTAAACGAAAATCAGCTTGAGAAGATAAGTTAAAAGAGAGAGGGAAACCCTAACCTCAAGTTCGATCTTATCTATTATCACTCGGTCGGAACCAGGATGAATGAATGGAAGATACAAGCTTTCTTATACGTATCAGCATTATATAGCACACTCAAGAAATCGAAAAAGCTACATGGCCATCTCGTGGGTCCAAAGCTTTAGATATTTTCAGGCAGGACAAAAGTCTGGAATCAAACCGGACCAAAAGGAATCAAACCGAGCGATTCTTCGTAGGGTAAATACCTGAACGGATATTTGAATCGAAAATCAACGAGTTTGGTTCGATTCTCCGTTCTAGACCCAAAACCGAACAAGAACCGAATTAGCAAATTAACTAATTTAGTGATTAATATTCTAACTCACAAACCAAGTTCGTACTTAGTTAGTCCAATCCAACCTAATTTCTAAATTCAATTTTTTAATTTAATTTTTCAATCCTATTATTAATTTCATTCATAGCCCAAGATCTAGGCATTTTGAAGTTTTTATCCTTCTCTTTCCAATTTCACACTTTCATTCGGTAACCACTGAGTCAAAGTCAATTACCCCAAATCATTTGATAAATTGAAAACATACATCTACATGCCCAGATCGAAATTGCCGAGTCTAACTTCTCCTCTTCAATGCCCATCGAAACCATGATCATTGATCGTTGACCATTAGAAATCTGTTAAAAAATTTAATTATGGTATGGAATCGAACAGAACCGAACTCGAACGGTTCCATAATTATATTTGGACCCGACAGTTCCATTAATTAAATACCCTAAAATTTTGGTTCAATTCGGTTCTCCCTAAATATTTTTATTTGGGGTCAAACATTGCCAAACGTCTTGTTTAAATGAGAATTATTATTATTCATCTACTTGAGGATGAAGGATATTCTTTTATTTTTTAAAATTTCTGAAAAAAAAATGTCTTCATTTATTAATTTTATTGCCACAATTTTAAAAATTTGTTAATAAAATAAAGACTCGGTGCCGTCATACTCCCAACATATGAACCTTGTTAAATACTTTCACCTTTTTAAATTGATAAAATATCTCCATGTATGAACTTTGAAGTGCGATACATTCCTACCCGTCCAATTTCGTTGGTTTAAACGTTGAAACTGACCAAAATCAAAAAGGAATAATTGCAAGTGCGGTCTCAAACTTCTTTTATTTATTTTTTATTTTTTTTACAAATTACAACCAAACATTTTATTTGTACCATCCATAATCTCAAACCTTCAAAAATTTTAGTCATATTGGGCTTCATCAATTCTGTCGTACACCCTAGTGAGAGTTGCAACCCAAGTACTCTAGCCCACCGACAATAGCCAATGTGGAAATTACACGCAAGCCTACTTTTCAAGATCCATATTCAAAAATCAGATGGAATGTTTCATTGTTCAAAAATCAGATGTTTTATTTTAATTAATATTTTAATAAAATAACAAACCCTAATTAATTAATTCAATCTTTCCTCTCTCTTCATATCTACTTTATCTCCCTACACCAACCCGTCGCCCTTCACTCTCTCTCTCTCTCTCTCTCCCTACACCTCGTCGCCGGCAACACAGCTCCCAACAGCCGGTGGCGTCCACTCCAAGACTTGCCCAAGCCTACTGCAAACGGATCTGCGAGGCTGCTAGAGGCGGAGCTCTGCTGCCAAATCTGCAACGCTGCCTTTTTTGGGATTTTTTTTATTCGATCTATTGTGGCGGTGGTGCTAGTGTAGGTTCAAAACTGGTTTGGGGGTGGTGATGATGATAGTGGTGAGGTGGTGGGCGTGGTGATTGCCGTGTACAGTGGGTACGGTGGTGGGTGTGGTGATTGCCATGTACAGTGGGTGCGTGGTGGGTGCGGTGGTAAGTGCTGTGGTTGGGTGTTGTGCGTGCGGTGGTTAAATTGGGGTTGACCCAGGCTTGGGCAAGGAGCGCCTTGGGGAGGGGAAGAGGACCCAGGTGGTCCACCACCCTGGGTAGTCCGAACGGCGCCGAAAATTGAAGAAGTGCACTGCGATGTCGCGACCTTCACGATTGGGTAGATTTCAGATTGCAAATTAGATCTTGTGCTTGCTTGTTGAAGTAAATTGGATACACGGTTGTGTTCATCTTGGTGAGGGGAGTTGGCCAGTAGTGGTTGCCGGGCATAAAGGTGGCCGGACGGTGAAGTTCCGACGTTTGATAATGGACTAACTGTGACCTCAAAATTCGACAATTTGTGACTAAAAATTAATTTGTGACCTGCAATTTTTTGATCTGTGACCGATAAAATAATTTGTGACCTATAAAATTATTGATTTATGATTTGGAAATAATCCGTGACCTCCAAAATTTTTAATCTGTGGCTAAATGTTTGATCTGTGACCTCGAAATAATTCGTGACGTATAATATTTTTGATTTGTGATCTCTAAATAATTCGTGACCTATAAAATATTTGAACTGTGACCTCAAAATAATTCGTGACGTATAATATTTTTAATTTGTGAACTCGAAATAATTCGTGACTTATAAATTTTTTGATTTGTGACCTCAAAAATAATCCGTGACCAATTAATTATGTATATGTGACCATTAATTGTATAATTATGACATCATTATATTTAATTAATTAAATCATAATAAATTTTAATAAAAATCTGATTTTTGAAATTCCAAACTTGTTTTCTTAATTTTGAAATAGGAGATACATAACCTCTTACTTATAAATTTTTCCCATAGCCAATTCTAGGCTTCAAATATAGAGCCCGGCTCTTAGGATCACAAATCTACCTGTTGGATCACCATGATCCGCAGCACAATTTCTGATGCTAGGGTCCTCAAAAGATGTCCACAACATGATGCCTTGCGCGGAAATATTGCATGTTGTTAAACAATATATGAATTAACGGGCAATTTTGTTTAACAAAATAATTTCCAAATTTACAGCAACAAAATGACACAACAGTAATTGTCACCATGAGACAATTTCGCTTACAAACTATGATCACACGTCTTTCTTTTCGACCCTATGATGTCGAGAAACAGTTCTCCCTATTGCACCACCCTATAATGTGATAGTTTTTTTATACAATTCCATGATGTTCATATGATGTTCATATTGAATATATGTACAAGGTTCCAAAAGCAAGACCCTGACCATTCGGCAAATAAACATGATGCATGTCGAGTCGAGTACTTAACAAGAAAAGAAATGGCTTTCTTGTAATTCCACTGGTGAAATGGGTGTCAAAAGTGGATAGTTCGATCAAATATCTTGTTAAGATAACATGTGTTTCAGCACACATTATTTGTCAACCGGAACCTGTTGGCAATGGGAGAAGAGAACCTTGCTTTCCTCTAATGAAGAAGGTAAGCTGTGATGGAGCAACCACCAATTTCAACCATTCTTGCAGTTCTTCACCTTCTACTTTCTCTTTTTCTACAATACATTGTTGCCAAATATCATAATCATTTTGAAAATATATAATTCTAAATGGAAAGAGGCTGATAGAACCCAACTTTTAAAATCCCCATTTGCACCAGGGGAATATATTGCCTCAGACCAAAAGATTAGAAAACAAATGCAAATCTATTACAAGAATTAGGGGGTGTTTGGGAGAGATTTTCAAATTCTACAGTAAATTAATTCTCATTTTCAACCACACATTTTTCAATAAAATAATATTTTCTATCACATCAATAATTTTTCTTCTTTTTCAACCACACATTTCCCATCATATCACTATTCCAAAATCAATTCTTCCCCCAAAAATTCCTCCCAAACAAGCTCTTAACATGCCTCCTCCACTCTCTCTCTCTTCAGAAAACTACAAACTGTAAACAAATATAAAGGGGAAGCCATAGCAAAAAACGGGAATCAAAGTTTTTTAACTGATTTTTTTTTCTGTGATGTGCGTTGAACACGTTCTTTTAGAGTTACTGGAATTGCAATTATCTGAAATATGGATCTTTTATCCTGGTTGGAGGAGAAACTACCAAACGTCTAGCTTTCCCAGGACTGTACTGAGTTTGGTTTTCCCAAATACAGGAAACATAATATTGCACTAACTGTGGTTCTTAGTCAATCTCAGTATTAAAAACAAAATTTGACCTTGTTCGAGTGGGTCTAAGGAGGGCACAGAAGAGGTTATGTAGTGTTTATTTCATTTATCTTTAGGCAAATATGAGAATTGACATGAAAAATAAGGCCAGTTTGCACAGATGCTGTTCAAGCAAAATCTTTAGAGTTCTGAATCTTAGTTACGTGTTTCGAACAATGTATTTTGGTCTACTTTCATAATATTATCAAAAACATCATTAAAAGATTGTCCTTTTAGTCTTTTACCATCCCTTCTGGATCTTATGGATGTGTAAATACTTTGTTAGGCCCTGGTATTTCCCATATAAATATCACAAAGATGCAAGTAAATCAATCAACTTGTAGTTTGTGAATTACCTTCCAAATGTGCCCCAAGACCCTCCAGAACATTGTGATTGGCACAAACAACGGAGACCGCTACATCAAGAGCTGATTGCAGCAAGGCTTTAACCTCCATCTGAACAAGATCGACAAGGTGCCCCTATCAAGTTAAACTTACAATCAGTACAGATTCATGGTAAAAATTCAGAATTGTAAAATAGAAGCATAGGCCTAAATGAAGAGACATAAGAAAATTTACATTATCCCTTCTCCAAAGTGTAGATCCCCCAGATTCATCCAATCCACCACCAGAAAGAGTAGCTAATGAAATGGGGCCTATGGTTTCATTAAGGCCATATTCAGCCACTGCCTTGTAGGCTATGTCTGTTGCTCGCCGTATATCATCAAGTGCACCTGTTGACACACGTCCAGAGTAAATAACTTCTTCCGCTGCACGCCCCCCGAGAAGAGTAACAAGGCGCCCCCGCAACTCATCGATGAAGAGCAAATACCTATCTTCATTGGTTGGGGGACTGTAAGTAAATCCCAGGGCCCCTCTAGATCTTGGTAATATGCTAAGCTTCTGAAAGGAGAAAAGGAATATGACTGAGCATTGTATCGCACCATATATGCAGATTCATACTGCACAATAAATTTCATATGCATTTAGAATTTTATTTGATTTTTAAATGAAAAACTGCAAAATTGTTTCATATGCAATCAAATACAATTTTTAGTAATAATGATGATCTTCGATCCATCAAGACTCTAGACGCTGAAAGGGAAAACTAAAGTACATGTGACACTGAAATGCATTGCTTTAACTTTATATTTCCATTTAAAAAATATTGTCAAGCAGTAGCATTTTCCTTCATATAATATATCTTTTTTTAAGACATACAATCAGTAAAGACTAAGAATGTCATACTGACGAGTGAGGGTAATAAAAATATGTGCATTTGTAACTCACAGAGATGAAGCAAAAAACGGCTATAATGATAGCGATGTACTTGTCTTCTTAATTTTTTAAATGCACACACCAACCCTATTGCATAAATGAGTGGATGGAATTCTTGGATAGACTATACACCTTGTAAATGAAGAAAGACCAACTCTCTTTTAATGACATTTCTTAATAAAGGGAAAAACGAAAAGAAAAGTATTGAAGACCTTCGTTAAGGTAAGCCTATAAGCTGGAGCTAGAGAAGAGTGATGAAGAAAACCCTTCACATTGACCTAATCCAGAGGCCATAACAATAAATTTTAAAATAGCCCCTGGAAAAAAAAAAGGGAAAAGAAAATAATCAATTAACTTTGGTACTATTACCTCAACACGTGGTTGACCAGAAAGAAGATTGGCAACAGCAGTTCCCACTACCGCATGACCAGCTTCATGCCGAGCAACAACAGCTTTCTCACTACCCGGTAACTTGGTCGTCTTCTTTTCAATCCCCTGCAATAAAAAAGAAATAAAAAATAAAAAATGTTGTGCCCTCAAGGTTAACTATATCCAAGTGAGGAATACGCAGTGCCGGTGTTCGACACTCCTCAGATACTCTATGATAATCATTTTTCTTTTTTTACTAGAAATATTATATATTTTTAACTCAAAATTATTAGTAAATAATAAACAAGTAATCATATTTAAAAGATTTTTAAAAAAAAATTAATAACAAGTATAAAATTAAATTTATACCGTATAAATGAAGAATTTTAAAGAATTTAACCAACATGTCGACGACGTGTCGTGTCAATATTTTTTTGAAAAATCACGTATCAGCGTATTCGACACGTATCTGTGTCGGTGCATCATAACAGTCCAACACGTAAATTGTGATGTCCATTGCTTAAGCACCTCTTTCTACCTCAGCCTTTTAATTCTATAATATCCATTGTTCACCAAGCAAGAAAAGAAGCAAAACGTATGGACTAACAAAAACCAAATGACATAAGCAAAAGACGCGTATCCCTACCAGAATTCTAAACCTGAAAGCAAACTCTATGAAGTAAATTTATTGAATTCATACTACATATGCAAATAAAACCATGTGATTTCCTCTAAACTCGTGAATTTATCAAAACACAGGAAAAGGGTTGCATGTTTCAGAAAGCAGAAATCAACTCAATGATATTAAGCTGCCATTCAAAGTTATGCTATTATTTATGCATCTATACATGGATCTCATCTCCTTAACAGAGTGCTTCAACCACATGCAAGATAACTATTCTTGAAGAATACCCTGCTGAATGACAAAACTAGATGCTGTAACTAATATCACCAACTATCATTTTCAGTATGTCATATTGTATGAAACAAGCTTTCACCTGAACACTTTTAGAGCATGCTTACTAATCATGATTCTTTCAGTTCCTAACTCAAGTCACTGATGGGGTTTATTACCAACAGTACAGATACAATGCCATATCTCAGAACAGAAACAAATAAATAATTAATGCATCTTATACCGCTATTGATCGCTCTACTGCTTGGATAAAGTCAATTTTCTCCACAAGAAGTTTACTTTGCCTTCCAGCCAACAATGCAGCTTCATTCACCAAATTGGCCAGATCTGCCCTGCATAATGTCCAAAATCAGAAAGAGAAAACGACTTAAAATTCTAGTTAAGGTCAACATCAATCCATCATAAATTGAAGATAGAGAATAGTCACCCAGTGAAACCGGTTGTCATAGAAGCGACATCGCCCAGATCAACATCCTTCCCAAGAGGAAGTTCTTTCTTGGAAACGTGTACTTTCAAAATGGCTTCCCTTCCAGTCCGGTCAGGTGTTTCCACCTAAAGCCCAAATATTTGTAACTTATTTTCAAGAAAACTACTAAAGCACAAAAAGTTGTTATGTTCAACTTTCAACGCTCATAAAGGAAAATTTCAAATTAGCACACCAACCGCAACCACTCGGTCAAATCTTCCAGGTCGGCGTAGGGCTGGGTCTAAAACGTCTTCCCTGTTAGTAGCTCCAAGGACAATTACAGCTGAGTTGCTGTCAAACCCATCCATCTCCTGCAGCATATTTTCTAACAGTTATCTTTCCTGGGAAAGCCAAATAAGTCATGAGGTAAAAAGAAAGAATATATTAATTTCCAAAAACCATACAGTCAGCAACTGATTTAAGGTTTGTTCCCGCTCATCATTGCTGACAATGCGAAATTTTCCATCACGGCTCTTAGCTACAGCATCTATCTGCACATTCAGGAATGCTAATTCAGAACATTGTGAAAGATTATTCAACAGATGCGTCAGAGATTGACCATGAATACCCAATAGATAGGATGGGGGGAGGAGGAAGAGGAACCTCATCTATGAATATTATGGATGGGGCTTCCTTCTTTGCTCGAGAAAAAAGGTCTCTGACACGAGATGCTCCCATACCAACATACAACTCAACGAACTCACTTGCTGAACAGCTGATGAAGGGAACTTCAGCTTCCCCAGCAACAGCCTTTGCTAAAAGTGTCTTACCTGTCCCAGGGAGACCCACCTGTAAGGCGATGCTGTAAGTACAATGATCTTTCAAAAATAAAAAAGAGAAGAGTGTATTGAATGAACTGTGAAGATAGAAGAAAGAGGATTTCAGCAAATATTTTAAGGTTAATTGTATGTATTTAATCATAAATTTGAGGAAATCAGGCAACCATGTAGATCATATCTTCCGAGTACTGTGCATCAAAACAAAAGATCCTCTTTTTTAGCAAACCCACAGTTATACCTAGGCAACATTGAGTGTGAATAGCAGGCAATAACAGAGAACTCATGTGGTTCCGAACACTATATCTTGCACCTGAACTTGGTTGAGGACTTAACTTACCAAAAGAACACCTCGAGGAGGGCGTGCACCAAGTCTAGTATACCTGTCTGGATTTTTAAGAAATTCCTGGCCAGTAAAGAAATTCCGGAGTGAGAAATGTATCTCCTAATATTAAGAACTACTATTCCATTGTGCAAGTAATGCCAAAATATTGAGGAGCATCTAACATACCACAATTTCTTCTAGCTCCTCCTTGGCCTCATCAACACCAGCAACATCAGCAAAAGTAACAGTTTCCCCTTGTTCAGACACTTTAGCTCCACCAGAACCCCCAGTCTTGCGATTTCTAAGTTGCCCCGGTGAATTCTGTATATTGCAAAGCAATATTAAGTCGTGTACCACCACGTCTGCTTTCAGAAGCAAACACATACAGTGTAATGATTCATACCTGAGAAAAGCTTACAGGAAACCGATGAAGAAGACCTGCAAGCACTGCAACATAGAATAAAGCTATCTGCAAAAGATAGAAATAAAAAACCGAATAAGATCTGTCCACAACACTAGCAGGTTATAAAGCACAGACAAACTCATCAGTGTGTGCTGTCATCACAGCCTATTGTTTTATCCCTACCCAAATGTCCAACTAAGTCTCCAACATGCAGTTCTTACACTAAAAACTCATTAACAAAGTACAAGGAATGCATATTAATTTCCGTGAAAAATTAACCATCTCTAATAAGAAAGTACGCTCTCTATTTCGACTAAATAATAGGACTTTATACCAAAATCTGGACAACTAGGATGAATATCCTTAATTTGCTCAAAGCTTACCACTTTATACTCATAGAGTGGATATTGGTGGCAACACTACTAAGAGCATATACAACTTTATTAGTTATCTCACAACTTTTATATCAGCACAGTCTGATATAGTGGTGCCAACGGTGATCTACAGAAGTACGTAGATCAATAAAACAAACAAGTTTGGTGACAGCAACCTACTGTGGTGAAGTGTGGAGGTTTAAAATCGTAGTTGGTGGTTGGTGATGTCTCGAGGTTGTAGATCAGTTGAGTCCAAGTTTGATGATAATGTGGGTGGTGTTGACTAATGGTGTCACGTAATATCATGCGCAACTCTATGTGGTTCCATGTGTTGTGCACGTGCTAACAGAGCCATTGAAGCTTTTTTGTGGTTGGCTTTGCTGTTAGGGCTATTGTATTTGGATTCTTATGTGGTTGACTCGTTTTATGACAAATAAAAAGAAGACTCTTCCCTTTGACGAACAATAACTAGACGATTCTTTTGATAAAACTAATGTAACGAATCTCTATGTCTTTAGGACGAAGAACACCACGAGTTGTAGCTTTTGACGGTGAATTTGTTCAGCGGAATGAGTAGAATAACAAAAATATATTAATTGATGCTGAAAGAGCGAGACAAACACGTGGAGACTGAGAAAGAGAAAAGAGGATAATTTGGAGAAAAAAATTCAATATCGACAAATATATCAATAATCAACAGTGTATATAGTTGCAAATATTTTACTTAAAATCGTTACACAGAGGAAGATTACCAAACTAACAAAAATGAAAAATCACCTAATTTAAAAATAATAGCTATGGAAATAAAATAAATTCAATCTACTCCTTGTTCTTTAGCCCAAAATGAATGCCCTAGTTAGTGGCGAATTTTCCAGGAATATCCATTAGATCTCCATCGGTATATGCACATGTGCATGGGTGTATGTATGCATGTAAGTGTGAGACTGATAATTTCATCTTGATAAAACTCTTCAATATATTTATTTATTTTGTTAAATCTCGATTTTGGAAATTTTGGGGGCAAGTAATCTGACAGATGGAATGGGATATGGTGGGGGAGGGAGTTCTGTTGGCTGCTGTGTGCAGATTTTATTTTGGAAGAGCAATGAGAAGGAAAGGCTAGCTAGAGGATAAAACATGGGTTGCCACAATTGGGGCTTTGGGGTCCACCAGGGATGGAGGGAGCAGTGCGAATGGCAAGGGGTTCGGTCGGACTAATGTGTGGCATTTAAAGTAAAATATGAATAATATTGATAGTCAGTTGGTCGAACAAGAGAAATCTATAAGATGTTAAAAATATGTACATGTCTGCTTATTTATTTCCCGAAGAGCTTATATTTAGGGCTTATAATTAAGATGTTAAACATATGTTCATGTCTGCTTATTTATTTCCTGAAGAGCTTATATTTAGGGCTTATAATCTCCAACCAAAAAGTTTTAACCACACTATGCAACATCTTACAAGTTGTTCAGCAGCTTGGCCAAACAAGCGCCAAGTAGATGGCATAGTTCAGCTGACAGGTAAAGTAAAAATGATATCAACAGCATGAATAGGTCCGTTAATGGTGTCGCATCATGAGAAAATAAGATACAACACGTATAGCCAAAAAATTACCGCTGACTGTTCACGAGAATGTCAAGGTAGATAAATGTACAAGGACTGAGTAATAAACGGCCATCTTTTTTAAATGGTAAAGAATCACAAGTTGAAGACAACAAAACAAAAAGCAAGATGGTTTGACTACTGATAGGCCCCAATTAAATAAACATATTCTAGAAGGATCAAGGTGATTGGAGAAGACTGGAGATGCCCGTATTTGAGGGATCCGATCCAGATGGGTGGGTCTTTCGTGTAGAACGATATTTCAACATTAATAGAATGACAGAGGAGGAAAAGGCAGAAGCCGCTGTTGTATGCTACTACGGCGATGCTTTGGCCTTGTTCAAATGGGAGGCCAAACGCAGGCCAATGAAGAATTGGGAAGAAGTGAAGATCCAGCTACTGCGTAGGTTTCGACCCTCACAAGAAGGGTCTCTTTGTGCCCAATTTTTATCCCTCCGGCAGAGCTCCACGGTCAGAGAATATCGTCGGCGATTTGAGACCTTGACATCACCATTAACGGAGGTATCTGAGGAGATTTTTGAATGCAATTTCTTGAATGGTTTAAAGCCTGAGATAAGGGCTGAAGTCCATTTACTAAGTCCATTGGGCTTGGAGCATATCATGGAGGTAGCCCAAATGGTAGAGGACCGGAACATGGTAACCCAACAAGCTACTGCTGACCCAATTAAACACGAGTATCCCCTTTCACAACCCAAATCCACCCCCTTCTCTCAACCGAAATCTAACCCAACTTCCCAGCCTAGTTAAAAAACAAACAGCACCCCTAAATCTTCTCCCAACTCATCAAAACAACTTTACCAAATATTCCACCCCCCACGAACAACTCACAGATGCAGAGATTCAGGCAACAAGAGAAAAAGTCTTATGCTATCATTGTGATGAGAAAATTACAATTGGGCACAAGTGTAAAAATAAGGAGCTACAAGTCTTTGTAATTAGAGAGTTGGAAGAGGCGACGGACGAAGAAGTCACGACCAGTGATAGTGAGCTGGAAGAACTGGGTATAGGCAAGAAGGAGTTGAATGAGTTACGTTTAAGTTGCTGGGGAAGTAACAATCAAGTATACTTTCCACCTTGAGGGCAAGGTGACTGAAATGGCCAGGGGAAATTGATAGGCCCCAATTAAATAAACATATTCTGGAAGGATCAGGAAGATTGGAAAAGAATGGGACTGCAAACAAACTCTGTTAGAGGGGTAGAATGGGGAGGGAAAATCAGTTACAAGTAGCTTATAAATAGGGAAGAGTTGGAAGAGAATAGGCATGCAAAATAGTGAGTGAAATCATATTGTGGAGAGTTACAGCCCTTTCGAATGGCTGATTGTATTACTTTTCTTGCTGTAATCCAGAATTCAATCAATACAGAAGTCTAATTTCTATCCTGTTCATTTGTTTCATTAAATCCACAGGTGGTACTCATCAAACACATTGAAAATGGACTAAGATTAGTGGGTCATGGTTGAATGAAAAATGTATAGATTGTAACTGTAGGTGACTATAAGGCCCTGTTTGGGAGGGATTAAATTTTTCTTCAGTAAATCAATTCTCATTTTCAACCACACATTCTTCAATAAAATAATATTTGCCGTCACATCAATAATTTTTTCTTCTTTTTCAACCACACATTTCCCATCATATCACTATTCAAAATCAATTCTTCCCTCAAAAATATATCCCAAACAAGCTCTAAATATATTGTAGATATGGTTTAATATCGAAATTTTAAAAACTAAAAACCACAGTTGCAGTGTGTAGGATAAGACATCGATCATCAAAAAGTATGAAGTGGGGGTATTCATGGGATTCAAAATGACCACGGTAGTAAAGGGCATAGTATGACCAACAAGAGCAAATAAATGAGAAGAGCAGTTGTACTAGAAAGTCATGCGCTACAAATATACCACATATAAGAAAAATAATATGGCTGAAGCGAGGATTTTAAGGTTAAAAAAAAAAAGAGCGTATACTAATGAGGAAGTTAAGGTAAAAAAATGAGTGAAGACCGAGTAAGAAATGATTAACTCCTTTAAATGGTAAACGAGCACATGTTAACGACTGACCAGGAAAGAAACAAGCAAGACGATTGGGAAGACGGGGAAAAAGATGATAGTCTAGTACTGCTGTAAATTGAGTATACAACCAAAACACAATTACGTTGCATGATTACAAAAGATAGGATTTTGCACATTATAGCAAATAGCAAAGTCTTAGTTGCAATGCAAGGGAAGAACCACGAGTATGGGTCTGGGGTGCAGGCCAAACCAAACATAAGTTCGAGAATGATATTACCTCAGTAGAAGTACTATCACAGTAAGATTTAATGTATTATTTGAAAACATGGGTAGGAAAACAACCAATTCAGATATTTCTTTCTCAACTAAGTGGAATCAGGGAAATTCTTAACACCTAAGTGATCGTAACAAAATGCCAAATTCAGTTCCAAAAGTAATAAACCAAATGAAGAGCAATTTAAAATATTATCAAAATTCGGACGACGGAACAATTTAGAGAATTGTTTTATTTGAAACAGAGCAAGTTAGAGAATTGTTTTATTTGACTTTGTATAGTTGGTCTAATGCTATAACCATTAGTCCGATAGAAGGATTGCCGAATTTTTTATCATGTCTATCTTGTTTAAACTGATAATGCACTACTTGTTTATTATCGTTTGAGTTGTTTTATAAAATTACGAGATTACCTATCAAACAAAAAAAATTCCTACATCTGCAATAAATGAAATTCACTAAACTGTTTAGTTCATAGAAAAGCAAAAGATTCAAACTTTATACATGCTTTGGCTTGCAATGCCCTTATTCAAAGATTAAAAGAAAAAAAAACTAAGATCTAAATCAGTTAACAAGCAAATTACCAGAAAAAGAAAACTGTAGTAATAACTCACCAATGCAGAATTCAAGAACCCTCCAGACCTCTTATCAGGGGAACCAAACTCTACATCATTCTCAACCATCTTCTCATACGGTGTCTTGATATCGCTAGGCCTTGTTGTTTTGTACACAATCCTCTTTGTTGGGTTCACACTCCTTAACAAAGAATCTGAGTCCTGTAACTTACTATTCAAGTCACCAACACTCTCCACACTTCCAGTATTGATGGCATCCTTCTTCAACTTAAACATTATGTGGACCCCATCAACCTCCACCTTCTGCACCTGGTTATTATTTATCTTGTTCAGAAACTCACTGTATGGAACGCTTACAATCGTTGTAGAAGTCCGAGGCTCGGAACCAGGCAATGGAATCCCAGGCCGGAGCAACCTCATCACAAACATCACTATCGCTAACTGTATAAGCAAAACACCAATTTCTTGCGCTTGAATTATAGGCTCCCATCGCCATTGTTTATTCCACTTTAACCACCCCCAATTATTCTTTCCCTGCTTCTCCTTCCGGCCAGAACCCGTTCTCGAACCCTTAGATTTCTGGTTTTCTTGCCCCTTGGATTCAGCCTTGTCTGTTGAATCAGTATCGTGTTCACAGGAACTATTAGCATAAATTTTCGTGTAATCAAAGTATCGGTTATGACAATTCGACAAAAATCCTCCCCAAACAAGAAACTTGGAAACCCTAGGTTGTAACCTAAAGGACGCGGAGTTGTGAACTAAACGACGGGGCTTTACATGTAAAGCTCTATACCGATTGCAGAAGAAGCTGTATCTGTATAAATAATTGGGATTATTGTATGTATACATGGAGAAATGTCTTTGAATTATTGGAGGCAAGGATTCAATTGTAACCATAATTTATGAAGAAAAACCTTCAGAAAAGAAAATCAAATTGAACACACAGAATCATAAATACGTATACATAGATTTTGAGTGGATGGATACATTCGGAGAAGCAGATTGGAGCCGATGGATTTTGACCGTTAAATATCCGCGCACACGGGATATTATCTCAGTTTATTCACGATCATGCTTACATTTACGTCATCTTTTAAATCATTATTTACGCCGCATTCGATAAGGATTAAAATCCAATTAAAAGTGAAAATATAATCGTTATTGAATTTCACTCGTCTAATAAAAGTCAACAATAACGATTATTTTTTCAATTTTAATCTGATTTTAATCCCTACCGAGCGGGCCCTTACACTGTAACTCGTGAAAACACGAGCAATTTAAAAAACAAAAAACAAATCGTTCACAACTTTTTGAAAACAAAGAGAATATCAACATGGACGTAAGGGAAATAATGTACAAATAACATTATTGATTGTTGTCTATATGAATTCTTTTTCTTCGTGCAAGTAAAAGAATAATATTATTTGTAATTGTTCACCGTCATAATCATATTACGTTACATACATATGACGATTAGTAATTTAGCCCCTGTTCGGCTTTCATTTTGGGGTGTTGAAAATTTTTGGAATAGTGATTGATTGGAGAATGTGTGGTAAAAAAGTAATGAAAAATTTTAGATTTATATGTAATTTTATTTTATTTTATGAATGTGTAGTTGAAATGAAGAGACATAAAAAATTAATGTAATGTAATGAGAAAAAGGGCCAAACGGGGGCTCGTAGGACAACTACGATAACAAGTGATTATGGATAAAAAAACATTGTTACTTTTTTCACTTCAATTATCAAACTCTTTTGGTTTCCAAGTTAATTATTTAAAGTTAACTTTTATTTTGGTTTAAACTCTTCGACAATCCCTATTTAACATGTCAATTGAGTACTTAGGTGGTTCACAAAAAGAATGTCACATTATAAAGTTGTTAAAAGATTTACGTCCTTGTCTACTTAGAAAAAAATATTAATGACACATACTGTTACTAGAAGTCTAATATCTAATAGATCTAATTTTGATCTTGAACTAACTTATAATATAAACGGAGGAGAGAGATTCAAAAAAACTCGATTTTCTGTCTTAAGAACCTAACTCAAGAAAGAAAAGTAGATCGGATTAAAAAAGATACCACTTTTAATGATTGAACTTGATTAACTGCGGGGAAAAGACACGAAATGACCTATTTTTTTAGAGTATTCCCGAGAGCAAATTCAATGCCCGATAAAAACGGGATGGGACATGTAGCTCAGGGCTAACTATATCAAAGTCATTGTGTTGTAATTGAGTCGTATAGCTTCTCATTTGTTATTGGTGAAATCTTACTATGGAGGGAGATCTTTAACTTCTGTAACTCGGTGTAAGAGTAAAATCTACTCATTTTCAACCATACATTCTTTAATAAAATAATATTTTCCATCACATCAATAATTTTTCCTTTTTTTTCAAACACATATTCACCATCACATCACAAAAAAAATGCATTTATCAGCGCACCCTTGTGGATGTCACTACTTGTGGTTAAAAACGTGTATTTATATAAGGTAACTTCAATAAATTAATACTATACAAATAATACGATTTTATTAAGCCCATGTTTGACAACTATTGTTTGGAAAAAATAATATTTTGAATAGTGATTTTCAGGAGAATGTATGGTTAAAAAGTATAAAAAAATGAATGTTTACTTGCAGAATATTTTTATTGTGTGAATGTGTAATAATAAATATGTCAAAAAAGAAAAAAAGTCTCCATATAATGATTGTCAATCATGGACGGACTTTCGTTCATAATTTATTAATTTGAATAGTAGATTAATTTACAATGAAAATCTATTTTTCGTCCTCAACCATTGAGAAATATAAGATTCAATATTTTTCAGCACAATTCATCAATAACCTTTTATCCCTACTAATATAAAAGAGACAATCCGCTGGCTACTGTTCATTTGTGAAGCATTTTGCATTCCCATGTTAGCCCCCATCGATTAATGATTTTCCCATTTTATCCTTCCCACGCCAAAATTTGGCCGTCTTTATTGACTTAATTGATACCAGTATTTATTTATAATATAAAAAATTAAAAAAACTTGCAAACCTACTCAGTGAGGAGAAACTGTCAATTGCAGTTGACTCCATTAATATTTTTGTAGTCGGTTGATTAATTTTTT